CCTTCCCTTCCCTCCTCATCTCAGCACAAGTGTGCAGTCTAAGATCCCCAGCTGGGTGGACCTCTTCTGTTCCCAGAGTGCCCACCAGAGAACTGGGTCTGCCCTAGCCCCCAGTCCGGTGGCTTGGGCACCACAGGAGCTTCCTGTGTGCAGGCTGAGTTTTGTTTGCAGATGCATGCAGAGTGGATCCCAGCCCAGGCTCCTCCCTGTCACTGCTCTCTCACCTAGGAACTCCTGAGCAGCCCACGATATCGGTGGCAGGCCCAGTGGTGCCCCCGTTCTGCAGCTTTGCTGTCCACAGCCCGTCGGCGCTGGTCACCAGCCCGGCGCGGGATGCTGTCGTTGTCGGTCCAAAACCTGGGTCCTCGTTTTCCCTTCACCGAATGCCAGCCGACCGTCTTGCCTGCTCTGTGCCGAGCTTGACGTGTGTCCAGACCCTGGCCTGTAAATGAGGACCCGTGGCCCTGGCCAGCTCTGTCCACATGTTCACTGTACACACGTTCTGTGTGGTTACTGTGCGTGCAGCCTGCTGTCTCACGTGTGTAAACCGCACAGCGGGACGTGTGGTGCGTGGGTCCTCTGAGTGAGCCAGGGAGCTACTGTTCCCTCACTGCTGCGTCCATGTCTCTACCTGTCCTTGGTCAGGGCTTCCTGACAGACTTGTGTGCACTGGACTGTCTTCCTAGCTTCCGTCATTTCTGCATGATGTCCCTGACAGTTGATCTTTCTCCACTCCTGGTGGGGGCACCTCGCGCCTGAGTCTCTGCCCTGCTTCCTGACGGGCAGGTCTGCTTTCAGGTGATTGCATTTCTGAAGAAGAAGGATGGGTTCATTGGCTCCGTGCTGCGGCACCTTGGCACCTCGGCCATGATGGACCTGCTGCTGCGCCTGGTCAGCTGCGTGGAGCCGGCCGGCCTCCGGCAGGAGGTCCTACACGTGAGTTCTGCACGGGTCCTTAGGGTGGGTCCTGATTCTTGCTTTGTGGCCCTGAGTGGGGTAGCTCACTGCCCGCAGGCTCACCAGGGGATGGAGTGTGTCCTGGGCGCATGCAGCAAGTGCCTGGCAAGAGGAGGCCAAGGGGCTGGGTGAGGGCTCAGAGGGCACCATGCATCCGCACCCACTCTCCCGCCGGGATGTGTTCTCCCCTGGCGCCGTGAGGCTCTGGTCGAGGGCCTGTGATTGAGGTTGGGCCTCCAGGGGCCCAGGGCAGAGCAGCTTCCCTCACTCTGTGAGGGAGCAGAAATGGCTTGCCTTCCCTCCCTCCCCTGCACCCCCCCCACCCTCCCCAGCGCCACCTCAGCCTTGCGCCCAGGTGCACACCTGTGAGAACAGTGCTTGCTGAGAGTCTCGCCATGGAAGACAGAGTCACGGAGCCTTCCAGCGGGGCACCCACTCAGCGGGAGGGTGCCTCCCCACAGTTCTAACCTGAGAAAATGAGGCTCCCCAGCCCTGGAGTCGGGGACAGTACACAGCTAGTACTTGTTCCTCTGTGGGCAGCCCCCACGAAGCTTAAGACGACAGCCAGCACTGTGCACTGAGTGTCGTGTGAGTAGTGGCCGCTGTCACCCACACTGCGTCCAAGCATCTCACCTCTCTCGGTTCTCAGAGCAGCCCGTGGGGCACGCCATCCAGTCTTTGGATGTGGAACCAGAGGTGGGTGCAGGCACGGAGTTTGTGTGGCAGTGAGTCCAGCCAGGCAGTGGGGCTGCGTCCAGTATGTACTCTGGACTTGGAAAGGTGGTTTTGCTGCTCCTGGCCTGACCCTGGATGTTGCGGGGTGGGGCAGCCTGGGGCTCACATGCAGTCTCGTTTGCACTGGGATGGGGGCCGGGGGCACTGGGTCTCCAGCTCTTCCTGGCTCTTTTGTGTCCTGGTCTTCTGAGATGCATTCTTAAGACAGTGTTTACGTATTAAAAATCCATTGCATTCGAGTTGATTCTGACTCATAGTGACCCTATAGGACAGAGTAGAATTGCCACATAGAGTTTCCAAGGAGCACCTGGAGGATTCAAACTGCCAGCCTTTTGGTTAGCAGCCATAGCACTTAACCACTACTCTGCCAGGGTTTCCGAGTTTACGTATGCTTACAACATGTTGGTGGTACCCCCCACCCCGACTTACAAACAAACATCAGGGTCATCCTAAAATTCAGTTACTGCCTGTCCTGTCTGGATTGGACAGATGCAAACACTGCCCGTGAGGACTCTCAGGACAGTCCAGGCTGTGCTGTGGCAGCAACATCCGCAGGTCCTAGTGGCTTATGGCGACCAAGATCCTCTCTCACTGCCTGGGGTCCACAGGCCTACGGGGGTCTGCAGCACCTCCTTCTGGAGCCCAGGGTGGTGAGGTGGCCCCCTCTGTTCAGACAGTGCTGCGGCTGTGACCTCGATGAGAGAAGGTGGGATGTGAGCACACACCGCCCCTCCATCCAGCCGCACTGGCCAGGACAACCTCCATGGCCAGCCCTAACCTTGAGGGGTGGCAAGTACATTGCTCCTTTTGGCTCAGGTCGGCCTGGGGTGATGGGCTTTGATGTCGAGCGGTTCGCTCACCACTGACCCACCCCGAAGTAGAGTTGGCTCATCAGTAGCAGTCATTGTTATTATCTACGGTAGCAGAGGTGGGTGTTACGCGGTAACGCAGTAGCGGTGGGTGTTACGCGGTAACGCAGTAGCGGTGGGTGTTACGCGGTAACGCAGTAGGGGTGGCTGTTACGCGGTAACGCGGTAGCGGTGGCTGTTACGCGGTAACGCAGTAGGCGTGGCTGTTACGCGGTAACGCGGTAGC